AGTTCATCAGGGTTTACCCTAAGGCTCTAAAAACAAAACTCCCGATATCAACCACCGTTCTTCAGCAGAAATTAATAAAATATGGTACTTACGGCTGAAGCAGCAAAGGCAAGAGCAGCTGAAAGCAGCACGACAAATTTGAACATTTTGGTGTAGTTTTGATTCGATGGCTCAGAAGCTTAGAGAAAATGTGAATGAACATATTTGTCAGAGTGAGAATATTTATACCCGCATTTTGAGTACCGAAATCAGATAAAGAAGAAGAATGCTCGGAATACAATAGTGATGATTCTAGCTGGAATTTGAAAAATGTGATACCACGTGTTGCGAATACAAAACTGAAGTGTTTACGTTTACTTAAATATTATAAACATCGAATTCCAAAGGGATTTTCTTAATTTAGATAATTCTTATTATTGTTGATTTAGTTTTACTACATTTGCTTATAGCCAAAGATGAAGGATTTTTACTTTTACTCGAATCGGAAACTATCAAGCTGTCCTCAGCTGGCCAAGTTTGATTGCATCAAAATTTTATCAATTATCAATCAATCAATTACCTCAAAAATTTAAATAAATAGTTTTGAGAAATTACACAAACAAAGTGAAAAGAATGATTAAAAAATTTGCAGGCAAGTTACCGAAACCCAACCAAAATGTGACTAAGAAGGATGCATTCGGCTACGACTCTACAAAAACCACTATAAACCGAGAGCATGCGAACATGTGAGTAAAACCGACGATCGAACGAAATATGTTTCATTTCTACTCGTTTTTTCTTTGGCGTCTTTTTACTCCAAAACCCATATGAATCACAAAATGCGAAGAACGTTTGCATCTTATAAATCTAACATAAATGTACAGCTTCTCTCTGATACAAATGACTTCTTCAACATCGGTTTTGGTCTGGATGTATTTAGTAAACCATGGATGTAAATATAATTGATATGGACAATGTTGATATTCAACGCCTTTTCTTGTCTCAGATGTGTCCGAGATCATTTCAAGGGATTTTACAGTATTTGAAAAACATGGAGCGGAGGTTCTATTAATGTTTATTGCTGTTCAATTAGTTGTCTTTTTGCCACAAAACATGGTCAGTCGCCTTTTCTTGAGTGTGATCTTTGCGAATTGTTATCGGTTATAATTAGGGCTGTGTAGTCTGCAAATGTTGTTCTTCTCACTTTTATTTGCAGGATTATGACGGTCACACAGCGCACATCTGTTTAAATTTCTCTAAACTCTGATGAACCACTTTCTTACTTAATTCCGTTA